ACTCACATGTGCTGTACCAATGTACCTGCACATGTGATGTGACAATAAAAGTGATTTGATTTGATTTGATTTGACATACAAAAAAAATAGCAAACCAGTATGGAGCAAAGACGTTTTCACAACACTGTTTATTACAATAACAAGAAATAGGCCTGTCACTGCACAGCTGAAGCTGAACCTCCACATGACTGACTTATGTATCTTGGTGCTGGCTCTTTTTGGGCAAGGTCTCCACATGTCTGATTTAGGAATCACAAAATAGATGTGACCCAACAGATTCAAATTGCTCACCGTCTCTGATTAAATGTCATGCTATTTGCCAAAAGACCGACACCAGTCAACTAAGCCAATATAATACATACATTTGCTCTGCAGAATTGTGAAAACGTAACTAGTTTTGACACGGAACACACTAAATGAATGACTGCCAAAATTCAATCAAGTGTAATTAGTCGTAGCCCTAAAAAACACGAGAAAAATTCAAGTAGAAATACGGAATATGATAACAAAAGTGGTTTGAATACAAACAAAACCTCTAACAGACATTAAATTTGAAACAATCTATTCCATTAATCGTCCTACTGCCCCTTGTACTAATAACTTATGACAACCATCCTTTCATCTGCTGCCTCGGACACCTGACTTTATTGCTATCAAAGCCAATATGCTGGAATCCCTTCAGGAGATGACCCAGGTCCACTGCACTTATTTTTTCAGGATACCGTCCCAGTCAGTGAGCCACATGTACTAGTGTGGTCGTATGTAAAAGAAAATAAATATAACTGTGTGACTAAATGTTTTTTATTATTCAGGAAATGGAAAACAGATTCAAACTGAGAACAAAGGGAACATTAGCAGTTACTAAATTTATGTAGGTGGTCCATGGGCTGTAAGAAAACGAATGCATATCTGTAAAAGGGTCAGCCTCATAAACTCTAGTTATTCTTGAGCGTTTTAGGAAGATTACAGTGCAGGTATCAGACTGCCACTTAATCTGAACTAATACATACTATTGAACAACAACTTTTGCAATCCCACAAATAATAAAGGCCCAGGCCATTGCCTTGCTCCCCATTTAAAGACAGGCTTTCTCAACACATCAACTCATCTGAGGCAAAGATGAGCCAGTTTCACTGGAATGGTTACAAATAGGGCTGGGCCATATTATACCGTTCACGGTAATACCGGTATAATGTTAGGCAACGATAGGAAAATGAAATATCGCGATAGAATATGAGTAAAACGCGCATGCGCAGTGCCTTTGTTTTCATACGCACATGGCCGATTGTTGAGTGAAACAGATGAACCAGAATTGGTTTGTAAAAATGGTGCAACTTCAGTGATGTGGAACTGGTTTGGTGTTTGTCCGTCAGATACACAACAAAGCACATTTTTTTTGCAGAACATGCAAGCGGCCGTCGGACTAAGATGCTCTTAAATCTGGGAGTAATCTGGGTCCTAAACTCCGTATACTTCAGGTCAAACGAACACTGCAGCATCACTAAGAGTTAAAAACTGTCTAAATTCTTTCATCTTTAATAAAACGATCAGCATTGCTGCTTTACCAGGTGTAACTATGAAGTTTAACTTCCAGGCATCCATGAAAACAAAAGTTATTACATTTAACGGAGTTAGAAGTTAGCAGGAAGCTAGCGGAAGTTAGCTCGCTAGTTTCGCTAGTTACCTAAGCATGATATTGCATGTTCTGACTGAGAGATTTCTGAAAAAAATCAAACGTACAGCTCTGCTATCACTTCCAACATAAATGAAGACAGGAAACTAAACAGCAGTGATGTTTGTAGGGTTACTGAAGTTGGGCTAGCTGGTATATAATGATGTGCTACGTGATCGCTAGCGACACAGCTATGTTAGCATAACATAAACAGTGAAGCTGGAGGACGAACACTAACACTTTTCCACTTATAAAAGTTAACGTTAAGGTTCCTGATAGTTAGAGACAAATGCAATCGCATGGCAGGATGCTGTAAACGGACCAAACTTCAGTCAGGAGAACAACTGAGATAATCCATCCACAATACGAGGTTAGTCATTAATATACTGCAACAACATGGGAATAGAGCAGCTGCCAGAGAATTCAACATTAATGAATCAATGGTACAGAAGTGGAGGAAGCAAGAAGAATGAGTTTAATAAAGTTTGATTTATCTGACTGCTTTGTTTCGCTTAATGTGCCTTATAATCCCGTGCACCTTATGGTCCGAAAAATACGTACTGCACACTGCAGTTTAATGTTGCAAAGCACCTCTTTTTAACTTCAGTGGATATTATACATGGTTATGCTCAGGATATGTCAGCCCATTTCTACTGGAAATGCCTTTTGGTTAAACTTTCAGCAAGGAATTTGCATTTGCACTGTTACATTTTTATAAAGCTTTAATGTACATAAAAACCAGCTTCTTGTTTAAGTGAAAATAAATGGATAGGTTGTCTTTTTGCGCTAGTAATGTTGTGGAGTTGTATTTTGTCTCGCATCAATTATATCGTCAGTTATATCGTTATCGCAAATTTTCAAATATATATCGTGATAAATATTTTTGGCCATATCGCCCTGCTCTAGTTACAAATTCCTGTTGGATTAAATTCACAGAAATATTTCACTTTGTAAACAATATATGATATTATGTGGTTGGAACTTCTCCCTCTATGCAAAATCTAATGAAAAAAAGGGCACAAGTTATATATGAACAGTGACTAGTATTAAAAAAAAAACTTCAAACACCAACATTCAGGCCCTTAAAATATCACTCCAACCTCTCTGATCATAGCAGAGCTTTGGTATTCAAAGTCAAAACTAATCTTTTAACCCAATCTGGGTCTCAGTAGCTAATAAAGATTTCCAGGTCATTTCATTGCTTCCATGATGTATACCTTACACTTCTTCCTTCAACTGAAAGAAGGGGCTTCTTTTCTTATCGTAACAACATTAGCAATAAGAGCTATTTGAAGGGATTTGGAATAATCCATTCAGGGTTTTTTGTTATCTTTGATGTTACGCGTTTTTGGATGCAACAGTGGCCTAATCTATGAAGATTTTATTATCTATCCTATGGGAAACAATAAAATAGTATTATCCTAATAATCAGTTCCTAACCACTGAATGATTTTGAATAACAAATGCACCTTTTAAGCAGTATATATTTCTTTAACTGTCAAAAGAAATGCAGTAAAGTCATATACAAATAGTATTGAAGCAGAAAAATTATTTTCTGGCATACTGTCTGTTCTCCTTTCTTCAGCAGCAGACAGTAGAGAGTATCAGCACGCTTACATTCAGATATTTAGTAAGCTTAGAATCAACAATTAAAATAATTAGCCTAAAATAAAAATTATGTTTAAAGAACAAGGCATCAGATCAATCATCTTTAGCACCCTGCTCCCTAGGTTTTGTTAACCTCTTAAGCCCCAACGCCCCCTGATACGGGGGCAAAAGGCAGGAGATCAGTTAGACTTGGGGCTTAAGAGGTTAAAGATTGAGATATTTGCTTTTGATTACTACCAAAGCTGCTAAGCTAAATGTGAGTATTTAGGACAGCCCTAGACTTTTCACTTCATGAAGGAATGCAGGGAGCACCAAAAGGGAACCGTTTAGCATAGTTATCTCTCCTTTTGTACAGCCAGGATAATGAGATCATGGAAAAAGCACCTGAAACAGGCCCTGTGTTACATCAGCAAACTTCTGGGCACACTTCTTATATTACTGGACTCATACCAACCCTGAAGAGGTCAGTTTGCTGCTCTGCTGATCACAGTAAAAATCAATATGCCATTAAAGCACAAGAATAAAGAAAAAGGGGCGAGGGGGGGCTATTTCACTTGTCAACTCAGAGGAAAGAACATGAAAAGGAATTACAGACTAGTAACTTTAAAAAATGAAAGTATGAATTATGTTTGGCTTTGTTTTGTTAGTAAAGAGTTTGTATAATGTGCTTCATTTATTTCTCTCTGCAACGTAGTCAATTCTACAGTAAATGAAAAATAAATTAAAAATAACAATAAGTCCCCACTGGGAAATGTTTTACTGAAATTATTTTGATGCATCGCTTTTTATTTTTTTTATTTATGCAATTGCAAAATTCCAATTAAGCCTTTAATCGGATTTCAACTTTAAACATAAGGAGTCTAACCACCCACTGAAAGGCTTTGAATGAAAAGAAAGAACAGAAAGTGATGAGGTCACACGAGCACAGAGGGTAACCCGGAGAGGTCGAGGAGACAGATGCTCACCTAGAGAGGGAGCAGTGCAAAAGTCCATGGATGCTTTTGCCTTTATTTTGAAGGGTCAATGCGTTGACTGAAGAGCAAGAACAGCAGGTCTGTGCTGTCAAAGGAGGAGCTCTTTCTTTTCTACTTGTCTAGACTTTTGCTGGTGGAAGTGAATCATGCAAGGTATATAATGACGGGGATTCCTACACAGACCACTGACTGACTGAGTTGCAGAGGTTTTTGTTTTGTTTCACACCAAACTAGTGTTATGGGTATCAGAACAGCTTTAAACTCTAATCACGGGAAATATGAGCAAGCTATTTTGAGTCTCATTAGCTGACAAACCCCGTCCCGAATGAGAAGAATCTGCTTTCACTGAGAACTGGTCATTAAATTGTGAGGATCACACCAAAGAAAGAAAGAAAAAAAACAAATAGCCCAATTGTTCTACCAAATGTAGCCTCAACTTTAAAAAAAACAAAGTTGCACAAAATGTCCTGGTCTGGTTTATTAAGTGATCATTCAGAACATTACATACAGCTTTTTACTGACCAGACAAAAGCACCACCCTCAGAGATGGAGTGAAAACTGATGTCCCCCTGAGTGGGTCAATGCAGCGTTTTCTTGTGCCTCCTCACGACAGTGGGCGTTCAGCCCGCAAGAACAAATATTTGGTGGAGATGCCAAACCCTCTCTCTGACACACATCAGGCTTTGTCCAATAAAGTGGGGTGGAACAATGCCTCCATAGCTCGGTATGACCCTCTAGTCCAGGAGGAGAAATTGGTCACGATTGATTTAAACTAAAGAGCTACATCTTTAAATCCAGGGTGTTTTCACAACTGTGGTAAACAAATCCCCCCAAACCAAATGGCTTAATTAGTAAAATTACTGAAAGTTTACTTTTAGTCAGCTGAAAACTACCTGACACCAGGTCACAGATGTGTTGCTTCATTTTGTTAAAATAAGCAGTCGAGTGTAAATTTTGCATTTGTTTGCATACTACAGCTCAAAACAAAATTATTTTCATCTGCAGCACGAGCTGTAGGTACTCGTCACTCGTCTCCAACTATGAACAAAATCATTATCAAACACCATCTAAAAGCCGGTCTGTGTTAGGATGTTACACTAACTTTAATGTTAAATGTTTAAGGCTTTGAGTGTGAAATTATGATGATTACTTCAAAGTAGGTTTGGTCTAATAATAGTTTTGTAAATGGTACACGTATTCAATCACAGCTCCACCAGCTGCAGCGTGGAGTATTTAAATAGCACAAATAAATAGCACAAAATTCAGTGAGTTACAAAAGTCAATAAGTAGCCTACCTGCAAACTTACGGGCAATGGCAAAGAAAGAACGTACACTCAGAGGCATCATAACTTGGGTTAAAAGGACTTATTATGGTGTACGCACTAAATTTACCTATGTCCTCATAATGAATTAAAGCCAAAAAAGACTAGCAGGTAGAACACTCTTCAAATACAGTGCCCCCCTGCCTCAGCCTTACCAACAACAACAAAACTGATGATGATATGAAAACAATTTTTATTATCACTTTTTAGGATCAGCTATCAACTGTCTCATGTTAGGTAATATGAAAATAACTGTGAAAGTACAAGGCACACGTGTCCAGGGCAAATGCACATGTGCAGCAACCATACACGCAAAACTTCCTGTAAAATATGAACAGCTGTTTGAGGCGGTGGATGACCTTACGTAAAACAACTCTTGTTTGCATGCACTGCAGGTATTTATAGAAATAACTCCTCTGATGGTCTGAAAATTTAAGGATGGAAGTTGATTCATGCACATGTGCATAATGCACTCTTGCTTTAGGCTATAGTTTTTTTTTTACTGTGCCATCTTGTTATTTACTTCTGTCTTGTAACACTGGTAAGAAGTATGAGCTCTCATAGGTTTGCTCCTTTAATAAGAAGAGCTTCTTGTGGCATTTATGTAACAGGACATTTCTGCATGTCAGTTGTTAGTCATAGCCAACTCAAGAAGGAAAGTTTGGACATCAAATGGAAAGTTCTGCTGCAGCTCGGCGTCTCTTCTTTCACTCAGACAGTATATCAGAACCCTTTATGACTGTTACCCATACCTTTGACTAATCCTGCTGTTTGTCTGAACTAAACGAATCACTGTGCAAATATGACTGAAGTCAGAAATACTTGACTTACAGCACTGGTCGTTTTCATCTGCAGTAGCACCTGTAGATACTCGTCACTAGGGCTCAGCGGTGGCTCTTCTTTCTGTTCCTCTTTTTGTGTAATCACAGAAAGAGCACTGTCCAGAAAAACAAAAAACTCACTTCTTCTCCGCAACATGGTCACTGTTTTCATGAAGCAACAGGATAGGAAAATAAGTCGCAAATTAATCCGTCTCACTGGGATAAAAGAGAAAAGAAAAACCTGTCCTGGAATAATAATTGAGTGCTGATAGTTTGAAGATCCAGAATACAGTGGTGCAAAGACTCCTGATAATACCTAATACGCAAACATTTTCATTTCACAGGGGCCAGTGAAAACTCCGAGAATGCACCAAGAATAAGAAGCATAATGAGAAGGAACTAGCACAGAACTTGATTAAACCATGAAGTCATTAATCTGATTACTACACCCCCTTCTACCTTTACTACCCAATAGGCTGCTTAGTGGCTAATCCTGCAAACACACATTAGCCATTGTTCCTGCTGAGCTGTTTTTCTTCTTTTTGGAGGATAAAGCTCTTTAATTCTTTATATAACACGGTCTGTGGAATGAAGGAAACTTTGAACTTTGGAAAATGCCCAATTTGAATGAACTGTAATGAATTTATATTTTAGTCTGTCAGTTGATAATCATCTCTCATTTCTTCAAGCTGAATGTTATCTACATTTAACTGTGATAGATTCCCTGTCCACAAGCTTCATAAGATTATATAAATGGATCACTAAAGCAAGAGGTGTACTGACTGTCCATTACATATAGGCTGATCTATACTTTAGCTAAATCTGGCACTCTAATTTGCGAACAACTTGCAATTGAATCAACCTATAACAGCATTTTCTGATATTAGCTTATTGCAGATATATGCTATTATAGCACATAGGAAAGATCCTCTGTGAACTTACCTGAACTACTGTTTTAAAGATTTCAGCCATAATTACTATTGCTACTTTTTGTTTTGTTTTGTTTTTTAACAGCTAAATTATGAGAGGAGTGCTAAGTGCTAATGGCAGTGCTAAGTTATCACCAGTTTGACCAGCTCAAGGCATCCATAGCTAAGGGTGTATTACACAAACACAATCCCTCTCATCATTGCTGAAATTCATCCCCTATAAATAAATAAGCTATGAAAAGACTTCTTGCAGTGTTTGTCGGTCTAGTGTCAGATAATGTAAAATAATGAGCTTAAAAAAGCTCCAACATGCACCAAAACAGTCTCAGCACCCACCTTGCATTAAAAGCAACCATGTAAATGAGAGTGGTAACTGCACAGCTGCAGATTGCTCATCTTTGGAACCAGCCTCAATTGGCCATTTAAGGAAATGCACCTTTGGCACTTGGACATTGGCTTCATTTTTACAGGCCCAGAGGTTGCTGCTTGGTAAATAAATACAGACACATGCCAAAGCAGTGAGTTAATACTGACTTCAGGTTCTAAATGACACCCCTGCTCAGCTGTCCCTAATAGTATAGATGCCGGGTTTCAAGGCAGTCATGCTACATGTTGCCATGACATGCCCGATTTAAATACTTTTCACTGAATAACATACTAACAACATGTTCCTTTGCAGTGGCTCACACTATACTGTCTGAGATTACTGCACATCTTTGTCAACAAGTCTTAAAATCAAATTATGGCTGCCATGGGACTTATGTAATTTAAAAAAAAATAACACAAACAAACTGCACTACCTTATAATTAGGTCTGCTGGCAAACATTGTGGTTGTAAATGAGAGACTAGATTAAGCATGTTTGCATCTCGTGTATTTTACACTTTGACCCAAATGTCTTGCTAGAGACTTTCTTCAGAAGTGACACGGAACTTTTATTGCAAATGCTTCCAACTCACTCCAGCTTAGCTTCAGATAACTGATTACTGTTTTTCACTAGTGTACTTGTTTTTTTTTTGGTTTTTTTCACTAGTGTACTTGGGTTTTTTTTGGTTTTTTTCACTAGTGTACTTGTTAAACCAACACAGCTGAACAAAAGCCAGTAATCTGCTAACAGGCCACACAAACTGTGGGACCATAACTGGATTTTATAAATCCATTCATTTCTCTCTCTTTTACGCTCATGTTAATATGTGTACTACTTCTCCACAAGGTAAAGGCCTTAGGGAACATGGAGTACTTTCACTTATCTAAATGAGCTGAGATATGTGCTACAGTTTCCCAGGCAATCTCTAAATTATGTGGCAGTCGTTTCGCTCCACCCTAACATGCCTCATCTCAGGATATGAGTAAAGATGACTCTTTTTAGGGGCTGCCTGACAAGACAGGCAGATTACTCATCATGGAGGCACTTACACACAAAAAAACGTTGACAAAGTTCTATGCAGTGTTTTCTATTTTAATGTACAGTATATGGAGGGCAACACCTATTCAGGGAGAAATGTGAGGGACATAGCTGTTACTGAATGGGAATCAGGGTTAAAGATTTAAATGGCATTTACTGTTAAAGCTATTTTACACTACAATCAGTGCTCTCTGTCCTCTCTGCCTGGCATCATTAACTATTAATTATTAATGTAAGTGCACACAATTTACCTTCTACCTTATTCAAAATACCAGTCTAGCTGAGACAAAATAGGTTTAATGCAGAATCCTGCAAAAGCAGAATCCATTACAACACTGTAGTTTTCCAAGGAAGCCTCAAAAAAGCTCACACAGTCACTTATTAACCATAAAATATGAAGTCAGTTCTTATTCTTATTCTAACTGTAAAGGAAGGAATATCACAGATATAATCAAAACTGAAGGGACTGAGGCTGAAGAACCAATGCCTGTTTAAGAAGTTGGTGCATCCCCCCCAAAAAACTACAACGCATAAATGCTGTATTGACATGGTCAAAGCAAACAAACTGTATTTTAAAGCTGTTTCCAAACGAGTGAACATGAAAAGAGTGTAAGAGACAAGAGCTACTGAGCAATATTAAAGAAAGGCATGAGTGGGCTAGAGTAATTGGTAGAAATGGAGTCCCGCAGTTAAAAAAGTGGGAGACAAACGTGTAGTAACTGGATGTCTGCATGGTCCAGTTTTTATTACCACTAAATCATTTGACATGAATAAAGTCCTGAAGTAACTGATAATATGGTCTGACCACATCTTGAATAAAAATGAACAGATTTCCAGAAGGCAAAGTATCAGGAAGTGCATTCACAACAACCACTAAACTCATGTTTTCAGCACGTTCTCTCACACACACACACACACACACAGTTTGTCTTTGGGGATAACAAAAATGTAAAAGCCACAAAAATAACAAACAATAAATACACTACCATCACTACAAGTCACACTTACAGTATGCAGTACAATATAACAGCAATTAGGATAATACAGACAGCTACAAGGTTCAGGTGACAACATGTCAACTTGGAGTGACTGCAGTTCAACAGCTGTATATTTGCCACTGTCACAGCAATGATTAGAGTCTGGCTTTATAAATAACAAAAGAGGTGGTGACTAAAGATTTGAGGTTACAGTTACACTCTGTGGTGGGAGGAAATGAGTCACATTTCCATGGACAACATGACAAAACGGCCTAAACCGCTCCCATTGTGGAGGAAGTCACGTGTCATCTGAAAAGCACCAAATTTTCACATTTAAGAAACCAGCAAATGAGAATCAAATCAAATTCTACTTTAAATGGTCTAGCTAATTTTAAAAAAAATGCTGTGAGCCAATTCTGTATGAATACCACTTTCTTCTGCTCTTCACTCCTTAAGAGCCTTTAGAACAAATCCAGATTCATTCATCTTTGTTTTAGCATCACAAGAGCTTAAAGGAGGAGGAGAAGAGAAAATGGACTGGAAGTGGTATCGCTGAGTCAGCAGGTGGGTGGTGACGGGTACAAGATTTAATGGTGAGAGCAATGGTGGTTGTAGTCTGCCAAGGGTTTCAGGCTCTGACCCCCACTGACTCCAACACACTGATAGAAAGAAACAAGCTAGCTCAGGTTTCAGTCCTGGAAGTGCCCTGAATATCAAGAGAACACCAGGAGGGATGAGGCTAGACCCCAGGGGAGCTTGAATCAAGATGAAATGGAACAGCAGAAAACACTGGGGAAATATCTACCTAACACTAGACTCCAAAAACACCACCAGGAAAAGAGCCCTGAATACTTCACTGCTGCAAATGCAAGACTAAAACCATCAGGTGTTGACTTAAAATTTCCAATTAAAAATATAAGAGAAAGCAAGCAAGTTTACAAATCCTCTCCAAACCGTACAACTTTCCCTTTTGATGGCCAATACACAGATCCATGTCTTGGGTGAAACTGTCAATACAATACAATGCACAATCAAAGAAACTGGGAAAGTTCACTTCACTTCTGTGGGATATTGTGTCCTCATTCATAAATCCAGAGATGCTTCTGTAAAGCTCAACTCACCTTAAGCTGCTGCTCTCTGAGTAGAGTTTCAGCCTTGTCCATGTTGCCTCATCAATTAGTTATGTCACAGGAAAAGACACTTTTACATCCTACAGGCAGTGCAGACTTAGTGGACTCCAACATAACTGTGAGAAAAGCAGCTTCTGTCCGGTTCCCAAATTATCCACACGAGAGAAGTGAAACATTCAAGGTGTGTCATAATGGAAAGCTCTATAGTCACATTGTAAAGCCAGAAGGTGAGGTTAACTTCTTTTTTCAGTTTTCACAGCTATGCAACTTTGGTTTTTGAGAATATTATGTGCATCTTCTTCTTTCATTGATCTTCATATAGTAGCACCTCTGCAGCTTAAAGCACCAGCTCTACACTGTGCATCTGAGCAACATCTCAGAGGAAATGCTGCGGTCTTGCTTTCTTCAATACTTCAATCTGACTTGATTTAGATTTTTTGTTTTAAATTAAAGGTGACAAGACCTCTATAGTTAGGAACAAAATTTTAATTTTTTTCTGACACCAGGTCCACATTGAAACAGTCACAAGTTAGACCACATTTGACTTCCTTCTTGTTTCGTTCCATTCGGTCACATTTGTACATAATGCTTATTCCCTTTTGTGCATGCATGTGATTCTAATTGTTTTACTCAATTCTCTGCTTTCACAAAAAGAAAGCCAGTTATTTCCTAACAATCTTGCAAAGACTTTGATGCCAACTTACTTTTTATAGCATTTTGTCAGAATGTAATGATGTTTAATATCCTGATTAGGTTGTATTGTCAGTGGCAAATGCTGTTTAGAAATAATGTTGCAAACCACAGCTAGGCTCTTCTGACACACTGTTTCTGTAACACTGATCTAACTGGTACTGTGACAAGGACATGAGTGTGATGGCATGCCAGTAAACATTCTCAAAAACTTTCTTTAAGAACACAGTGAATGCTATTATTGGTGCTGTGATGTTGCACCAAAGGTATTCAACATTTTGGAGTTGACTGGTTGGTGCTTTACTCATTGTGAGTAATGCAGTTCAAACAATAAAGACCCACCACAAGTCAAGTTCATTTATTTACCCTGTTAGTCTGTCTAACGCTCACATTTGCAAGCCACAAAAGTAATTTGATACAGTTCTGCTAACACTTTATTCTCTATTGTGATAAAGTTTCAGTTATACTCTACTGTCTCCACAAAGCAGCAAAGGGAGAAATATCGCCATAAGATCTGTTTGCACTACCTCACCATGTGGCTAAGAGTTTAGAAACTGTGCTCTACTTTTACTTCACTTCCTGAAATATCATACACTTTCCTGTTCAAAGCGAGAAACAACAGGATGAGCTTGTTGAAAAAGTTCAGTGCATGTCGTGACTCAACCTTCATCTGTCATGCTGCATGCTCCTTTTAAGGCTAATGTCCAGTAATTTGTGTTGTGCCAGGCTAATAACTACAGCTGCAATGATTAAGCAATGGATGGTTTACGCAAGCAGAATTTTTGATATTTCATCCATTCATGTTCAGCTATGCTGTTCTCTCTAGATTTATAGCAAATGGATAGCGTTGCATTAAGTGAGTGCAACATTACACTTGTGACAGCTAATGCTGAAACCGTGCACTCATCTTAAAACAGTTATTATGATAACTATTTTATTGTGAAAACTTTTCTGCCTATAGCTCTTCAAATGTGAGGGATGTCTACTTATATTTGTTTAATAAACATAAAAGTAACTGGATTGTACATAATAAAGATCGTGCATAGATGCAGGGCACAACTAAATGTACATGCAATCTAACCAACAACATACTGGTTAGTTACATCCTTGTTCTACTTAAAAGTGTGGGTGCTGCCACAATAGCATAGCTGAGGTTGCTGTGTTGGGACGACAGCCCAATTAGCTGTGTGCATTGTCCACCTGCAGAGCACTGCTCAAATCAACCTGCATGTTGAAGAATCAAGTGTCTGGACTCTATTCAGCCTGCTAAGAAAAAAAAGCAAGCATCTGGTTGTAATACATTATTCTCTGCAAAAAAAACTTGTAAATGCTTTCCAGACCAAAAGGTACACATGAAAGTCTGTAAAGTACCTCAAGGGTATGTTGGCTATGCATGACTACCTAGGCAATAGCATTTGTCAGCTAAGCATTGTGGTACAAAAATGAAAATACACAGAGAGCACAGAAAAACTGCAACAAAATGTGGAGTGCCATTGGTTTTCTTTGTGAACTTTGGACCAGGTAAATTACTGGAGAATTCAGTGAGTGGCTCCCCCTCCATTTTTTTTTAAATGAAAAAACATCCCTACGTTAACTATCTCCAGACCACTTGATGTCTACTAGAAGAAAAAAAATCAAACTTATAACATTGACTTTAGACTGCTGTTTGTGTCGGGGCAAAAAGGGCTCCAAGCTGCAATCCTAAAGAGACTGTAATGTGATATATTGCACACAGGTAAAAACCAAGCAAATACATTTCTCAAGCTGAACACCTCATATTAAAAGAAGCTGTGTTTGCTATAAATATTTGCATGAAAAACGGTGCAACGTGAGTTTATGTAAATACACTCTGACCCTCCTGACGGGTTCAAATCTATACTCCGTGCTTGGCTTCATGCATGTCTGTGCCAAAGCACAAACTAGCACATGTGCTATATTTAAAACGTGCAATTGATTGTGAAACAGCCAACAAGCAAGCACCTCTGGGGGGAGAAGAATCACTCTTTCACACTTGCAGCAACTACCTATTATCGAGTCATAAAAAAAGAGTGCTGTAATGTTCATTACTGCTTTGCTTTTTCCTTTTTCTTTACATGGTTGCCTTACAAGTGTGAGCATGTGTCTGAATACAAATTAGGAAATGCCAGCTAGCTTGATGAGGGCTACTTCCAGGTTGTAAGAAGTTCAACACTGCCTGAAAGTCAATTTCAAAGAGGAATAGGCTTAAAAGTGACATCATGGTAGAGGAATTTATTGTAGTCGGGTCACCGGGCTTCTACTTTGTCTTCTGCTGCTGCTCATAAAGGTCTTGGTGACTCCAGGAACCATATTATTGTCTTTTCAGACAGGCCTATGTAGTATGCGGTTTCTTTTTTTTTTCACAGCAACTATCTTGACATGAAATAAGAGGTGTTACTAATCACATTAATTACACCTCTGATCCTTCGCTAATGTGATTAGCAACACCTGCGTTAACCTGCTATTTCGAAACAGCTACTATGGCAAAACTTTTTACTTCAAAATCTATCTGAAATCTCTCTGTAGATGCAAATACTTTTTAGAGAATGCAAATAACTACACAGCTGGGGTGCTTAAAAGTAGCGACTGTAATAAATCCATAAGTAGTGAAATGAGTGTAACCTGCTACTTAGTGGAAGAACGAGTTCAACATTTGCCTCTGGTTTTAGTAACCTCAGGATCAGAGATGCACAACTAGGGGAACTTAACCTTATCTACTTCCTCTGCTTGCTTTGATAATGCAGCATGTGAGATGTGCGCATTTATCTGCGGGTTAGCCATGCATTCATTACACGGTAACAAGCAAAGAGAAAAAAAGGCAACCGTCGCCGCAAAGAGAACAAACAGCCACAACGATTTGTCTGCGCTGGGAAACGGGAATTGCCGTGTTATATTGCGAGGGGGTGTGTGCAAAAGCGTGGTTTGAAAGGCTCAAATGTAAACTAAAATGGATGGCGAGCTAACGCTAGCTGCCCATATTTATGCACCATTCCCTTCTTGCTAACAACACTATGCCACCTCGTAGTAATAAAACACACAATCTCACGCAATAACTGCTACAAATTAGCCCCCTTTAGCTTATGTCATCGAACACTAACACGCATAAAGACGTGCTCACTAGACATCGTTTTTAGCGGAAAAAAGCGGGGTACTGCGCATTGTCACACGCGTGTTTATTCTGAGAACCGTTATACGCACGCACTCAATGATAAAGCGAGAGCAAACGTTACAAGTGCACCAGGACTCACCCATAGCTCTGTCCCCCAGCTCATGGTTTCAGTGTGATGTCCTAAGAATAATCCACAGCTCGTACGAGGTCTTTCCAACACACACAGCGCCGATAGCAGACGTGATTTTTGCCTCTGTGGTATTCGCCTGTCAACGTTGAGAAGAAAAAAAACGCTCCTCTCCTTGTAGGTGTTTTTTTCACACTCTCATCCTGTCTGACACAAGATGGCCAAGAGCTGCAGCATAATCTTCAAACAGGGTAGTCTCGCTAAATGCAGCGCGCGGGCACAAGCGCCAATGACAGCTGCTCCTGCGCGCGCACAGCCGAGAAGAAAAAAAAAGCCTGGTGGGGGGTGTCACTGCGGGGTTGTCCAATAAAGCCTTTACCGATATCTCTGCTCGCTCACTCTCCTCGCTGTGTCATTGCACTGGTGAAAAGCCCGTTTAGAAATGCTATATGAACGCAGGGGAGTGGTGTGAAAGGGGTCGCCACCCTTGGCAGATGTTGCATTGAATAGTCCCAGAGGGTTTCGGAGTAACTTCTGGCCAACAAACCCTACTTTCTCTCTCGTCTTTTGTCAGGGTCCCCCCCCACTCCTTGTCTGATGAGCCATGGCGATCACGCATGACGCCGACAACGCCTTTAATGTAACATGTACCTCACAAGATCCACAATGTGTTACATACTTATAGGTTTGATGTATATTTTCTATCTACTTAAAACTTTGCGTAGCGACAGGTGGCCGTTGTTTGCGTCATCTAGCGCAATTATACATAAAACTACTTAGGGTAGCTAAACTAGTTTAGTTCTCAAATAAAAAGTACCTTATACTTGCTCCCTCTTGTTCCAAATGATATTTTTATGTTCCCTACAATATACGCTAATTAAGTATAAATATAACTATATGTTACAAATAGGGAATTATTTTCATATTCAACATATCATCCAGGCGTAAACATTGGTCTAATCAGACACCTGTAATGGCCATCACATTTATTGTGATGATTTATGTCGATCGTCTTTATTAGAAAACATTTCAGTCACGCAC